TGAGCTCCGGTGGGCAGACTATCAAGCTGTACAAGGACACCGGTCGAGTACTTCGCCCACCCCTTGTAGGGTGATTCTTGACGCCAGGAATAGTGCACAGGTAGGATGATATTGTTTTTGTTTAATTTTATCGTTTGTAGATAGTAATCCAGAAATTCGTTAACAGGAGTTCTCATAGAAGGCCAAAAGTCGTACCATTCCATCTCAAAAAGGGTTGGTTGGGTTGCTTTGCCCAAGTTGCTAGCTGCATCCATACTGCTAGCTGTTCCTTGAGCAAGGAAGGCTGCTGACATGTATACTCCATAACCCTAAGTATCCAATTCAAATTCCTCAGTCTGGTTTGCTCTTTTGCAAACGGGGCCTGTATACTGCCTGCCGAGTTTTTTGAGAATGTGTGTTCTCCGGCGGCTGTTGCATTGGACGTCAATGCCTTGAACAGGTCTGCCATCTCCACAGACAGGAGCTTTGTCTATCCCTCCTCCATTTTGGGATATATCTTTGTGTCTGCGCATTTAGCTTTGCACAAAGAACGTTTGAAAAAACTCAATAGCTGTTTGGACTTGCAGTAGACACTTACTCCGGTGGAAACAAATCCAGGATTGCAAGTAGCAGTAGCCGAGGATTCGGTAGCAGACATTTTGAGATGCATTATGAATAGGTGTTTTAGGACATGTGTTGGGTCTGGTGCAAGGGTTGCTTGGATAAGGCACATACAACACTCCTTTATTAAAAGCGAGATAGTGATGACCGGAAGGTGGTGAGCCAGGGATATATCGGCAATGGACCGTAACGTTGGGAACAGGCTCCAGATTTCCTTCACATTTAGGAGTCTGACCAGGGCCTCCCGCCAGCATCTCGGCGTAGACACCGTTGGCAGAGCATTGGACTTCGCAATGAGCCAAACGAGCCTTAGTTAAGTCAAAGACCCATCCCATCTTCTCTTTGCAAGACGCTGTCTTTCTGCTGGAAACAAATTTGTCATTGCAAGAAGCTGTCACACTGCTAATGTAGTTACTCTCCAGGAGGTATCCGTTGGAATGTCCCGGGCCGAGTAGCAGCAGGCGGGGCGGCCCTGGGGACGGCAGCCGGGGGACGGGAACACACGGGCCAAGTGACCCCACCCCGCACTACAAACGCAACAGCAAAAGTGAACGCCAAGGCTAACTTAAACACTAACAACGCTCGAGCCGAACCGGAGACTATGTTTGGCTCCATGCTGTTCCGCCCCCTGGGTACAGCCCTGAGCTGTTCCGCCCATGGACTGGCCCCTGGCAGGTGGAAGTGGTCAAGGGAGTTGTGTCTGCTATTGTCAGGGTGGGTCCTCCTCCTTCACCCCGACATGCTAAGCACCTGACTGTGCATGTGGATAGGTTGCGGGTGGTGCAAGGTAAGGTGGTTGTTCCCCCAGGGGTTCCAGCTACCGGGCCCGCCACGCCTGAAAGACCGGCGGTTTCCTCCATGGGTGGGCCCGCTCTGTTTCTGCCGGCCCAGTTTGCGAGGTCGGTCCCAGGGTTGGTTCAGCCCCCGGGTTACCTCCCCACACCTCCCCCATCTCCGCTGGTTGTGCCCCCTGCTGGTGTTCGGGGTTCCCCTCCCTTGGTGGGTAGTCCCCCGGATACCCCGGCCCTGAGTGCTCCTGATTCTCCTCACCTGGATTCCTCTTCCTTGCCGGGTAGTCCGTTGGTGCCCCCGACGCAGAGCCCTCCGGTTTCTCCCACCCGTCCTACTCCGCCCGCGACACCACGTCCTCGGCGGAGGTGTGCCCTGCCCACGGATGGCTTTGCTGCCCTTGAGGAGGGTCAGTTAGACCTCTCGTGGCGGGCTGGTCATGTAAATATTGTATACTATGGATACTCCCAGTTGGGGTTTTTCTCTCCTCTTTTTTCTTTTTTCTTTCTTGCTCAGTGTTGCCCTCGCCGACCCGGCCATGGTGTTGGACCTAATCGAGGAGTGGAAGTCGTTTTTTGATTCGCTTCCCGAAGACCTGCGTCCGGCTTTCCTTCTGTCCGCTTCCTCGCCGGTGATGTCTGCAGCGCCAGCGCCAGTGGTGCCTCGCCGCCGACGGTCCCGCCGCTCTCGCCGGAGGCGCCGGGCCCGCCCGAGCGGCGCAGCGTCACGCCGCCCTCGCTGCTCCGTCGCCGGCTGGTAGTGTGCCGGACAGTGCGCCTTCCCCTCCCACTGTGGGGTCGGAACTGGTCTCCCTCGTTGAGGTCCATTGTGTCAACGAATTTGCGTAATTTTTCCTCATTCTGTATTTTTAGTTCGTCTTTTCCTTTGGGTGAGTGGTGTCCTAGGTTGGTGCTGTTCTGGAAAAGATCCCTACAAGGATAGGGCATAAACAGGTGGAGCAGCTCGCCAGCCGGGGTCCTCTTTGAAACTGTTGCTTGCAGGTTCCTCCATTGTTGCACAGTTTCGCGGGGCTCCCGGCTGGTGTGTTGTCCCTGCCCTTTTTGAGGGTTTCTGCCCCTTTTGGCACGTGTGTGCGGACCGCACGCGGACTGCGCAGGTTGCGCATGCTTGCATAATTATTCTATGCATTCTTGTTGTTTTGGCCTTCTTCCTGAGACTCTCCTCGAAGTAAGAACGACAAATATCAGTCCTCTGTTTGTGGTACATGTGAGAGAGTAATCGGAAGGGCTATCGTCGGGACATATAAAACCCCGACGACACGGAGGAAGTAAAATAGATTGACTTACCCGATTCCTGGTTGTGCGTGGCAGTGGATGATTGCATTCAATGAGGCATACGGTTGTCTGTTGGTCAGAGTACGACCGGCACAGCCATTAATTAATAATGATAGCTTGCATGCTGTCCTACCGGTAGGACCCAAGAAATCGAGCTGCAAAAGTGCTTTTGGTTGAGAAATGTCTTGAAACAATTGTTGAGATGACGTCTTTGTCAGGCAAAGTAATGGCGCGAAATGCAAGGCTATGTCCAGTGCATTGCGTATGCGCAATTTTATCGATTGTCAAAATGGCCGCACACAATCCCGTCGGTGTGCTAGCAACTCTGTCCAAAGTGAATTTTGACCATGGCACATCAATCGTGGTGAGGTCCTAATGTTTTTATTAGCTTGCCCAGGCAGTTGAATGCATAATTCCATACTCCGTTTCCATGGTTACCATGGGCTGTTACCATGGAATTTTGTAGAATGTCTTGAGCGATCATGTCAACAATTTGTGGACTCCTTCAGTAGCCCTAAGCAACAGTTTAGGGTCAAGTTTTAGGTCAATGTTAGAACAGAGGCCATGCAGCATGTCTGTGTATGATGGTCCTACCGGTACGACCGAGGTCTATGCAAGCTATCATTAAGGACTTCTCCAACCTACTATGTAAAACAAACATTTAGATACAGATAACTTACGGGCATTCAACGTTGTGAGAATTTCTTCGAGAGATTTGAGAGATTCGCCATCTGTTTACATAGACACAACAAATCACACACAAATCACAAACACTTTCGAAGAAAGTAAGGTAATTTAGAAACAGCTATGTAGACTTTGTTTAGGAATGGGTTTGCTTCCCACTGGAGCTCGCGCTATTCCGCCGACGACTTGACACTTGACCGACTCACGACTGCCATCCAGAGAACACGAGAAGTCCATCGAACCTTCGACTCGGCAAACCTGCAAGAAAGCACCACTCCCTGCTCAATACACAGTGTTTCGGGGAATTCACCCCTCATCAGTTGAGCTTCAGTAGGCTGAGGAAGATTGTGCCTGAAGGGCACCACTTACATAGTGCTGTCCAGGCACAAACATCACCAGGGATACAAACTTACAGAGACACTCCGTTTCCAGCGAGACAAACACCTCGTCAACACCAGATAGCAGCGCGAGTCAGCTATCGCTCCTGGACGGTGAGAACAGACGTAGAGGACCCTCGGTCATTCACTACGCTGTCACTTCCAAACCAACTAGACGCACGCCCGCGCTGGGTACAAAAGTACGAAGTAGAGATTGCGACTTTGGCGATGATTTTGCAATCAAAACCTCTACATTGTACAGTTATATAGACCATCGCTTTGGCCGAGTGCTTGTGGGCTTGCCTGCGAAATCACAAGGTCCCGAGTTCGAAAGCCGCCCTGGACAGGGAAATCGAGGACCCAAGTAGGGACAGTAGACCTCTAACCAGGACTGGACTTAGAAGTAGTAAAATACATACTTGCCAACCACCACAAACACTTTCGAATAAAGTAAGGTAATTTAGGAACAGTTATAAATTATAGACCATCGCTTTGGCCGAGTGCTTGTGGGCTTGCCTGCGAAATCACAAGATCCCGACTTCGAAAGCCGCCCTGGGAGCAGGGAGCGTCTACTGTGCTAACAAAAGTGGTGATGCATACGTGAACCACTTTATAGTCAACCCGTCACCACCAAGTGCTCTTAGCCGAAGCAATGTGTGAAGCATAACACACCAACGCGGCAAGGACACTTCCGTTGACAGATAATATGTATGCCCCTGGACAGCTGTTTCGCTCCTTAGAGAGCTGATCAGCAGAGGATGATGATGGATGACAACGACGATAATGGAGTGTATCTAAAACAGAATTATTTTCTATAAACTCACCGGGCTGCGATTCGGAATGCGATTCTGTGGAGTGATCGTTATCAGAGCGCTTGTGGTCTGCTCACAGAAACACAACAAAAAGCAAGATATGGTTTAACTGGTCTTCCTTATCTTGCTCCCAGCCCCAAGCCTTCTCCACACTTCTACAATGGAAAAGATAACTAGCACTCGTAGAAGACTGTTTACGAAGACAGGATGACGAAAACCCAATTGGACATGACGACCTCAAGACAAAAACTGCCATTACCTTCGGTCTTAAGGACTTCTCCAACCTATGTACTATGTAAAACGTACATTTAGATACAGATAACTTACTGGCATTGAGCGCTTTGATCATCGCCTCGTAAGATTCACCATCTGTTTACATGGACACAACAAATCACACACACATACACTCACACACACACACACGCACACGCACACGTGTTACGGATTTCGTCTTGTATGATTTACGCATGTCGTTTTATTTGGTTCTTGTCTTGTGGAGTCCAGTGTCTGATGTCATATATGGTCTAAGTGTACGCGCGAGTATGGTGTGATGTGTGACGTTTATGGTATGTGATGCATGCAAGAGTACGCGTTGTCAGAGTGTGAGGATGTGCTTCCGTCTGTGTGAGAGTGACTGTCAAGTGAATGCAGTACATGCGCAGTGCTAGTTTGGTCTGGGAATGAGAGTCGTGTGTGATTCGTCCGTGGTCTGGTTGTCGTGGTCTTGGTCATGTGTTCTGTACGTATTCGTCCCTGATTGGTCGTCTCGATTTGTCCTCGGTTTATTACTGCTTGTTCTTTGTTGATCCTCTTAGTCTTTTCCCGGGAGTCTTTCCCGTCGTCGTTTTCCGTCTAGTCTTTTCGTCTTTCTCCTCCTGTGCCCTCGCCGTTTATTATTGAAGTGAATACTAGTATGGAAGCTAACGGAATGGTGCGTTGTTGAGTGACCGGGGCCAGGGGGAGAAGCCTACAACCATTTCCTTTACAGTGGCGCCCAACGGTATTTCGACGCGGAGTTCTGCCTCCGCAGCCCACGACCCTGGGATCGTTTTGTTTTCGCCGTGGCTTCAGTTCGTGCTCGCCGTTTCGAAATATATTTTATTTCTCTCGTCGACCAACTCACTTCACCGAGATTGCTACTACGGCCATGGAGATGGAAAGGCGTTCGCCAGCCTGGCCTGCAGGCCCCTTCCCCGGTGAGTCGCTACCAGTAAAGGGTTTGGTGTTTGCAGTGTGCGTATGTTTGCTGTCAGTGCGCGAGGGGATAGTTGTGTAACTGTTTGGTTTCCTGTGATGGTTTGTAGGATTCTCGTTTCGGATCCAGGTTGAATTTTTTTGTGAGCGTATGGTTTCGTAATTATTGTGTTTCGGCATATGGGTTTCTCTAGTTCGTTTGGGTGGGCGTCTGATCATGGTGAGCCACGGTCTGCCTGGTGGTCTGCAGGGATCCTGTGTTTTGTTGTATCGGTTTGCCTTGCGGGTGTTATGGTTTCCGTGTGTTGCTGGTTGGCCCTTGCGCGCCCCAGTCGGTCCCTGACAGTTTTTTTTCTCGTTTTTTTGCGAAGCGGATGTAGTTCCGTGTTTTTCAGGTTCAATCCCTGTGGTTTTTTCAGGTTCAATCCCTGTGGTTTTTTCAGGTTCAATCCCTGTGGTTTTTTCTCTATAATATTATTTGCGTATTGGTGACCAGTTGTTTGTTTTGTTCCTGCTATCCTCACCTTGTACTGATCAGATGCTGCTGTACCTGTGTTTCTTTTTTTTTTTGCCCTGCTTGGCGCACCAACAACAACAACCGACTGGCCAAGACGCCGATTTCCCAAGATTCTGCACCCATGAAGGCTTCCTATTCCAAATCGGATCACACATCTCTGGCCACAGCATTCCGTTGTCTTATCGTTTAGTTGTGTTTCCCCTTGTTTCTTTTTTCTGACCTTTGTCGTTTGTTCTGAAAGAGTCGAGGTCGACTCTCGCTGGAGGGGAATGCTGTGTTACGGATTTCGTCTTGTATGATTTACGCATGTCGTTTTATTTGGTTCTTGTCTTGTGGAGTCCAGTGTCTGATGTCATATATGGTCTAAGTGTACGCGCGAGTATGGTGTGATGTGTGACGTTTATGGTATGTGATGCATGCAAGAGTACGCGTTGTCAGAGTGTGAGGATGTGCTTCCGTCTGTGTGAGAGTGACTGTCAAGTGAATGCAGTACATGCGCAGTGCTAGTTTGGTCTGGGAATGAGAGTCGTGTGTGATTCGTCCGTGGTCTGGTTGTCGTGGTCTTGGTCATGTGTTCTGTACGTATTCGTCCCTGATTGGTCGTCTCGATTTGTCCTCGGTTTATTACTGCTTGTTCTTTGTTGATCCTCTTAGTCTTTTCCCGGGAGTCTTTCCCGTCGTCGTTTTCCGTCTAGTCTTTTCGTCTTTCTCCTCCTGTGCCCTCGCCGTTTATTATTGAAGTGAATACTAGTATGGAAGCTAACGGAATGGTGCGTTGTTGAGTGACCGGGGCCAGGGGGAGAAGCCTACAACCATTTCCTTTACACACGCACACGCACACGCACACGCACACGCACACGCACACGCACACGCACACGCACACGCACACACACACACACACACACACACACACACACACACACACAAAGAAAAACAGGAGTAGTTGGGGTGCGTTCGAGCTTTCCCTAGCTTCTAGGTGAAATTTATCCCAGAAGTTGAAGAAAGTTAGGTGTGCGCTCTGGGGCGAAATGGTACAGAGCGGGATGAATTTGAATGGTACGGGAGAGATCTCCGAGACCAACACGGCTTGCATGACCAGTAGACATTTGGCGTAGGAAGAGTCGTACCAACGTTTGAACACAGAAAACAGCGATTCCGACTGTCTGACTAAGACCAGCAAGTCACAAACATTGCCATGCGCGAAGCCACAATTGTAATGACGCGGAGGAAGTAAAATAGATTGACTTACGGCTTTCCTGGTTGCTGCCAGTGGATGATTGTTCATGGTGACGACGGTGTTGTCCGGCTTTTGTTCAGAAAAACAAAAATAGGGTGAGTGTTAGTGTTGGCAAGAGTAGAAAGACAAGAGTGAGCAACAACTCCGGATCTCTTCTGCAGATACCCCGGCACACAGCAGAATTGCCAGGTGGCAGGCGATGATGACAAACTAGCTTTTTGAAGTACAACGTACACCATAACGACCTAGCAGTGGAATGGGGTAAGCAGTTTCACACTTTCTTTTCTTGACGTAGTGTTAAAGAGTTGGTGGTAGCAAAAGTAGATAAAAAAGAGTGTGCAACTACTCCACATCTCTTCTGCATAATCTGCAGCTACCCCGGCCCACGTCGGAATTTTTGATGACGTCACCTTTTCAGAAAACACCTGTTGTCAGCGCACGCGCATTTTGCGGCAGAGCAGTGTGAGAGCACGTTCTGGGCACCGACCTTGTAATCTAAAGCCTGGCCAAGTGCACGAGGCAAAACGAGTGTGCAACTACTCCACATCTCTTCCAGATCAGCGAGTGCACAACCTACTGCACATCTCTTCCAGATCAGCGAGTGCACAACCGGCAGTACAGGTCTACCCTTGTTAGGAGATAACCCCGGGGGTTTCAAATTGATTGTCCTATAACGAGCATTATCTACTATCCGGACGTGAATGTGCGCGTTTCAGGTGTCGCAGGATTTTTGATCATCGTCTACTAATAATGAGGTTTTTCTTGTTTCCGATGTCGCAATGACGAGGGTACACCTGTACTAATACATTTAATCAGCAGAAATCTAGCTCCAGCTAGTCTACTAGGCGCACACCATCGGCTTTTTACTTCCTCCACTCTGAACAAGACGCGTTCAAAGTCTTCCTGACAGTCTGACTAAGACAGTCAAGTCGCAAACAGTGCGATGCGCGAAGCCACAATTGTAATGACACGGATGTTGTCCCTGCCCTTTTGGAGGGTTTGTGCCCCTTTTGGCACGTGTGTGCGGAGTGCGCGCGGACTGCGCAGGTTGCGCATGCTTGCATAATTATTGCACGCATTCTTGTTGCTTTGGCCTTCTTCCTGAGACTCTCCTCAAAGTAAGAACGACAAATATCAGTCCTCTGTTTGTGGTACATGTGAGAGAGGAATCGGAAGGGCTATCGTCGGGTCATAGCCCCCCCCCCCCCCCCCCCCCCGACGACAATTGGGGCCCAACGTGGGGCTCGAACCCACGACCCTGAGATTAAGAGTCTCATGCTCTACCGACTGAGCTAGCCTTCAGAGCGGGTCTTGAGCGGGTCTTGATATGGTGCTGGATTACTTCTTCCTTATAGTTGAGCAGACAACGGTGATCTGAGCTCCGGTGGGCAGACTATCAAGCTGTACAAGGACACCGGTCGAGTACTTCGCCCACCCCTTGTAGGGTGATTCTTGACGCCAGGAATAGTGCACAGGTAGGATGATATTGTTTTTGTTTAATTTTATCGTTTGTAGATAGTAATCCAGAAATTCGTTAACAGGAGTTCTCATAGAAGGCCAAAAGTCGTACCATTCCATCTCAAAAAGGGTTGGTTGGGTTGCTTTGCCCAAGTTGCTAGCTGCATCCATACTGCTAGCTGTTCCTTGAGCAAGGAAGGCTGCTGACATGTATACTCCATAACCCTAAGTATCCAATTCAAATTCCTCAGTCTGGTTTGCTCTTTTGCAAACGGGGCCTGTATACTGCCTGCCGAGTTTTTTGAGAATGTGTGTTCTCCGGCGGCTGTTGCATTGGACGTCAATGCCTTGAACAGGTCTGCCATCTCCACAGACAGGAGCTTTGTCTATCCCTCCTCCATTTTGGGATATATCTTTGTGTCTGCGCATTTAGCTTTGCACAAAGAACGTTTGAAAAAACTCAATAGCTGTTTGGACTTGCAGTAGACACTTACTCCGGTGGAAACAAATCCAGGATTGCAAGTAGCAGTAGCCGAGGATTCGGTAGCAGACATTTTGAGATGCATTATGAATAGGTGTTTTAGGACATGTGTTGGGTCTGGTGCAAGGGTTGCTTGGATAAGGCACATACAACACTCCTTTATTAAAAGCGAGATAGTGATGACCGGAAGGTGGTGAGCCAGGGATATATCGGCAATGGACCGTAATGTTGTCCCTGCCCTTTTGGCACGTGTATGCCCCTTTTGGCACGTTGGTGCGGACCGCGCGCGGACATGTTCTTGTTGTTGTGCGCATGCTTGCATGCTTATCGTGCGCATTCTGGTTGTTTTGTGTGCCTTCTTCCTGAGACTCTCCTTGGAGTAAGATGAAAATAACCTGTCCTCTGAGTGTGGCGTGCGTGTGATGTAGAAGAGAGTAATCGGAAGGGCTATCGAGCGAGGGAATAAAACCCCCCGACGACAGTAACGTTGGGAACAGGCTCCAGATTTCCTTCACATTTAGGAGTCTGACCAGAGCCTCCCGCCAGCATCTCGGCGTAGACACCGTTGGCAGAGCATTGGACTTCGCAATGAGCCAAACGAGCCTTAGTTAAGTCAAAGACCCATCCCATCTTCTCTTTGCAAGACGCTGTCTCTCTGCTGGAAACAAATTTGTCATTGCAAGAAGCTGTCACACTGCTAATGTAGTTACTCTCCAGGAGGTATCTGTTGGAATGTCCCGGGCGGAGTAGCAGCAGGCGGGGCGGCCCTGGGGACGGCAGCCGGGGGACGGGAACACACGGGCCAAGTGACCCCACCCCGCACTACAAACGCAACAGCAAAAGTGAACGCCAAGGCTAACTTAAACACTAACAACGCTCGAGCCGAACCGGAGACTATGTTTGGCTCCATGCTGTTCCGCCCCCTGGGTACAGCCCTGAGCTGTTCCGCCCATGGACTGGCCCCTGGCAGGTGGAAGTGGTCAAGGGAGTTGTGTCTGCTATTGTCAGGGTGGGTCCTCCTCCTTCACCCCGACATGCTAAGCACCTGACTGTGCATGTGGATAGGTTGCAGGTGGTGCAAGGTAAGGTGGTTGTTCCCCCAGGGGTTCCAGCTACCGGGCCCGCCACGCCTGAAAGACCGGCGGTTTCCTCCATGGGTGGGCCCGCTCTGTTTCTGCCGGCCCAGTTTGCGAGGTCGGTCCCAGGGTTGGTTCAGCCCCCGGGTTACCTCCCCACACCTCCCCCATCTCCGCTGGTTGTGCCCCCTGCTGGTGTTCGGGGTTCCCCTCCCTTGGTGGGTAGTCCCCCGGATACCCCGGCCCTGAGTGCTCCTGATCCTCCTCACCTGGATTCCTCTTCCTTGCCGGGTAGTCCGTTGGTGCCCCCGACGCAGAGCCCTCCGGTTTCTCCCACCCGTCCTACTCCGCCCGCGACACCACGTCCTCGGCGGAGGTGTGCCCTGCCCACGGATGGCTTTGCTGCCCTTGAGGAGGGTCAGTTAGACCTCTCGTGGCGGGCTGGTCATGTAAATATTGTATACTATGGATACTCCCAGTTGGGGTTTTTCTCTCCTCTTTTTTCTTTTTTCTTTCTTGCTCAGTGTTGCCCTCGCCGACCCGGCCATGGTGTTGGACCTAATCGAGGAGTGGAAGTCGTTTTTTGATTCGCTTCCCGAAGACCTGCGTCCGGCTTTCCTTCTGTCCGCTTCCTCGCCGGTGATGTCTGCAGCGCCAGCGCCAGTGGTGCCTCGCCGCCGACGGTCCCGCCGCTCTCGCCGGAGGCGCCGGGCCCGCCCGAGCGGCGCAGCGTCACGCCGCCCTCGCTGCTCCGTCGCCGGCTGGTAGTGTGCCGGACAGTGCGCCTTCCCCTCCCACTGTGGGGTCGGAACTGGTCTCCCTCGTTGAGGTCCATTGTGTCAACGAATTTGCGTAATTTTTCCTCATTCTGTATTTTTAGTTCGTCTTTTCCTTTGGGTGAGTGGTGTCCTAGGTTGGTGCTGTTCTGGAAAAGATCCCTACAAGGATAGGGCATAAACAGGTGGAGCAGCTCGCCAGCCGGGGTCCTCTTTGAAACTGTTGCTTGCAGGTTCCTCCATTGTTGCACAGTTTCGCGGGGCTCCCGGCTGGTGTGTTGTCCCTGCCCTTTTTGAGGGTTTCTGCCCCTTTTGGCACGTGTGTGCGGACCGCACGCGGACTGCGCAGGTTGCGCATGCTTGCATAATTATTCTATGCATTCTTGTTGTTTTGGTCTTCTTCCTGAGACTCTCCTCGAAGTAAGAACGACAAATATCAGTCCTCTGTTTGTGGTACATGTGAGAGAGTAATCGGAAGGGCTATCGTCGGGACATATAAAACCCCGACGACACGGAGGAAGTAAAATAGATTGACTTACCCGATTCCTGGTTGTGCGTGGCAGTGGATGATTGCATTCAATGAGGCATACGGTTGTCTGTTGGTCAGAGTACGACCGGCACAGCCATTAATTAATAATGATAGCTTGCATGCTGTCCTACCGGTAGGACCCAAGAAATCGAGCTGCAAAAGTGCTTTTGGTTGAGAAATGTCTTGAAACAATTGTTGAGATGACG